GTGTAGAAAATGTAAAATAAACAGGTGAAAAATACCAAGTTTACCAAACATGTGGATCAACTGAAAGTTTCCTCACTGTGGAAATGTCAAATGTCACAACCGCTTTGAAAACTAATTCAGAAAAATGTTTTAATTTAGTCATACATTTACCATATGACTCAGAAATTCTACTTTTTTATCCCAAAGAAATGAAGATATATGGCCAGGCACAGTGGCACATGCCTGTAATCCCAGCGGCTCTGGAGGCTGAGGCAGAAGGAGTTCAAAGCCAGCCTCAGCAAAAATCGAGGCGCTAAACAACTCAGTGAGGCCCTGTCTCTAAATAAAATATAAAAAAGTAGGGATAGGGATGTGGCTTAGTGGTTGAGTGCCCGTGAGTTCAATCCCTGCTATCAAAAAATTTTTTAAAAAATGAAGATATGTTTGAAGACTTGGACATGTAGATTCATGCACCTTTATTCATATTAGCCAAAATTTAGAATTATTTTAATGCCTGTAAATAGGGTGAGTGAATAGGCAATTTGTTGTATATTTATACAATGAAATAAATACAAGGCATTGAAAAAGAGGAAAAAATTACTTATAAATGTAACTGCATAAATAAATCACAGAAACATGCAAAACAAAAGATAACAGCACAAGATAGTATATATCATATCACTAAATTTATATGATAAATTTCATCAGTAGTGGAAAAAAGGATAACAGTCATTGCTGAATCTGAGGGTATTTGGGGATTGACAGGGACCAAGTGCCAAGGAATTTGGGGGAGTTTATGGAAACATTTATCTTGTTTATAATGGTTGTATATATGAATGTATACATTTGTCATCACTCAGGTAATGGTTTAAATTGTGTTTGTCAAAATTAATCTGTGTAAATCCTAATTACCAGTATTTCAGAATGTGACCTCACAGATTAACTAGTTAAGATGAGGTCCCATTGGAGTAAGGTAGGTCTCTAATCCAATATGATTGATACCCTTATAAAAAAGAAATTTTGTAGAGACCCACACACAAGGAGAATCCTCTGTGAAAATACAGGTTAAGTTTACAAGCCAAGGAATGCACAAACTTGCCTGCAACCCAGCAGAAGATCGGAGAGAGGCATGGGACAGATTACTCATGCAATCAGAGGGAGCATGCCCTACCAACACCTTGGTCTTAGAAGTCTAGACTCCAGAACCATGAGACGGTAAATGTCTACTGTTTAAGCCATTCCATCCGTGGTGCTTTGTTCTAGTAGCCCTAGGAAACCAATACAACCCATCAAAATGTAGCACACATTATTTGTGTCTAAATTGTACCTTAATAAATTTGATTTAAAATAATTGAATATATTTCATAAAATAATTCTGAAAGAAAATCCATGTAACCTCTGAGAATACAATCTCCTTCTGTCCCCCTGTGTGTGTGTGTGTGTGTGTGTGTGTGTGTGTGTATGTAATATCATTTAATTAGTATTCAGCAAGTGCCAGGCAATTTCATCTATGTTCTTTAATTTCTCATATCAATGTTGTGAGGAATTTATCATTCCAGCATTATATGTAAACAAACTATACTGGGGAAGTTTGATAAAATGTCTCAATAATATGGCCTTATCTGATTAGAAAAAGAACAAAACTGTTACAAAAATACATTTCTCACTAGAAATTCAGTGCTATATCATGCCTTACCCTTAATTTTACATGATTACTGGTAGTATCAATGTGCTTGGATGACTATTTATATTGCATATTTTTATCTTGAAGTAGAAATTTTTCTGTTCCAACTTCCACAGTTACCCTTAAGATTCTGACTTTTAGTCCCCATCATGATGTATAAGCTTGTCTTCATTCTCAGTCCTTAGAGTAAAATAGCTGAGTCTTTCCTCCTCTGATTTTCAAAGTCTGATATTGTTTTTGTCCTCTGATATTTTTATATACTAGCCTGTTCTTGTTTACTTGTGTACTGTCCTCTAACCTCCCCTTTGAGGATATTAATAATGCTGTTAGAGGAATTTTTACCTAAAACACTGGTTTCCTCTGATGTCATTTGACATTATGCTCATTTATCTGTGCCTTTCTCTGATGACCCTTTTAGTTTTTATGTTAATGTTTGAAGAAATTGATCCATGAACATAGGAATCTCTTGTTATCAGTGGTAGCCTGACCTAAAACTCCCTTGTGCACCTGGTGACATGTTGGTTAGCTGGCCTCTTTTGCTGTTATGTGGGCAGGGTAGGGTTAGAGAGTAAAGAATGAAGTCCAGCTGCCAGCAACTGGATGTTAGAAAGTAGATTCTGTGGTCACTTTAGTTTGTGACTCTACCATAGAGTCACAAACTAACCCCTCACCTCAGTGTCAGTCTTGTCTGCTGTGGGTGCTGAGCCCAGTCTCCTTGTGCTCTGAATTAATCACCAGTATAATTCCAGCTGCCATCCATCTTCAGGACATTCTTGCTTTTACGAGCACATTTGTGTTTCTCTTTATTTTCCCTTTTATGAACTGGGGGAGGGGTATTCAGTCTGTTTCCTGGGGAAAGTAGCCCAATGATTCAAAAATCTGTGGAACACAAACTTCAGCTTTCTTTGATGTTTCTTGAACCAATGTTCTTTTTATCTTTGTTATAGTCCACTTGTAAAGAAAGCTATTATCTCTATTCCTCTTCTACAGACCTTCCTACATCTAGCAAATTCCTGGAATAGCCAAGGATTATAAAATGTTCTATGTTTCTAACCCTGGCATGGGAGGAACTCTTGAGTTCATTCACAGTCCCAGCAGAAAAATCTTGTGGGGGTGATCCAATAGAGGAGAGAGGACATTGCGCTTAGAGAATGGAGACGTGAATTACTTTTCTCAAACTGGAGACACAATTTTGCTTAACCTTTGAGAATCTGCATTCTAACATTTAAGAATGGAAATACAATCTTGTCTCTTGAGTTTAAAAATCAACATGAAGTGTATAGTGGTTTCTCTAATACATAGTTGGTGCTCAATACATGTCATCGCTTCTCCCTGCTCATAAAATCATCCGCAACCCACGGCTGACAGACGTTATAATTACTTAAGAGTCAAACTCTTTAGGTTCCCAGAGTATTAAAACACTTTATTGTAAAGTGATTGAGAATTTTAAGATTGATTTCTTTATAGAATGTATTCAGTACTTTTCCTTCTGTGCTCAAACTCTGAATACCTGAGTGCCTTTTGAGTGTATTGATACCTGTCACTTCATATTACTTATTCAATCTAGGCATCTCTTTGAGCTCCAATAGTGCATTTTAATCCTAGAGAGGTTCTATCCAGGCTTCTCTGTTCCCCCACTTTGGTCCTGACTCATATAACACATCATTTGTTCTATGTCTTCAAAACATACTGACCTTTGTTGTTGTTGTTGTTGCTGCTGCTGTTCCTGGAATGTTCCTGCAACATGGTATTTCCTTCCTTCCTTCTTGTTGGTGTGATTATAATTAATATGTCTAATTAATATGTCTCCCTCACTAGATTCTTGTTTCCTGAAGACATTTTTGCTTACAGGCATGCATATCTACATTGATCAACAGTCCACAGCACATTGTAGAAATTCAATATTTTTCTTGAATGAATGAAGCCCAAAAGCAGAAAGCTTCAGGAGAGGCTATTTGTATTTGTATTTTTTGTTTGTTTGTTTTTCTTATATTGTTCCTAGGCATGCTGTTTTCACATAGCTTTTAAAAAATTCTTTTTATGTTTAACCCTCAGGACTCAATCAGTTTAGATTTTAGCAACCTGATTGTTATTAGCAACCTGATATTTTAAATCAGTTCATGCCTTTTAAATATAAATCCTGGATTTCTAATTCATTTTCTGTGCATGTGTCTTTTTAAATTGAGCTTTTCAGTTAATCTTGTGTGAGCCTTCTGATTTTCATATTCATGAACATAGTCATAAACATAATTGACAACAATTATGGTTTTAATTAGAAAATAGTTTTTAGCAATCATGGAAATATTAGTTTCCAAAACTTAATGGTCTAGTGCAAGGATATTTAGTTATTAGCATTGTTTTCTACACTGATTATTTTGTGCAACATACATAAGAATTGGAGGATAAGAAGAAATAAAGAATGTTTAATTGCAAAGTGGTAATAGCAGTTCTAAGGAGAGTGCCTGCCTTTTTAAATCTTAAACTGATATAATTTAGCCTTAATTCCAACAAATGAATAAAAGATAATCAGATTATTTCATTCAACTATTCATAA